GGATAAATAGTTTGTTCATTGAGCCAGCAGCCAGGGCTCCATTTGGCTACTCACCAGCTGATCCAAGAACACCATCTTACACTAAACACACAGGAGAAGGTGGACGTGGAGCTGCTGGTCGAGATAGGCATAGGGGTGGCCATCATCGTGTTGCTTTGGCAAAATTGGCTTTGAAGAATCTTCTTCTTACAAATTTGGACCTTTTTCCTGCTTGCATTGATCAGGTAAAATTGTTCTCCTGCTGTTGGTGTGCACCAAATCCCCCTAAGTATATATGCATGGAAGTCATTATTTGGGAGATTGATTGATTATTAATGGATGTCATCTTCCACTGACAAAACTTCAATTTGGGAAACATAAAATAAAAGAAAAACTGTAGCTTGTTGACTGCTGAGTAGGAGTAAAGTCAGCTGGTAATGCATAAAGATCTTGCAAGCAAAAATGGAAAAAAAAAGGGTGATTAAGGCCTTTATTGTATTTTAAAACTTTACCTGTGTTTAATAAAAACTTGCATAACCTTTCAGTATTTAGTTGCTTTTATATTTTTGCTACTCTACTTCTGCCACATAAGCATCCTCTCTGTGCTTTATCCTGCCTGTGATCACTCTCATAACTAGCTTAATTATGTAAATCATGACTAATGACATTTTCTTTATGCGGAACTAATCAACATCAACTTTTACTTTCAGTGCTACTACTCTGATACTGCCATTGCTGAGGGCTACTTCAGTGTGCTGGCTGAGGTCTACATGCGCCAAGAGATACCAAAATGTGAAATTCAGAGGCTCCTGAGCCTGATCCTCTACAAGGTTGTTGACCCAGCTAGACAAATCCGTGATGATGCCCTTCAGATGCTTGAGACACTTTCTGTCCGTGAGTGGGCTGAAGATGGTATTGAGGGTTCAGGAAGCTATCGAGCTGCTGTTGTGGGCAATCTACCTGATTCCTACCAACAATTTCAATACAAGCTCTCATGCAAACTTGCAAAAGATCACCCCGAGTTGAGCCAGCTCCTCTGTGAGGAGATCATGCAGAGGCAATTAGATGCTGTTGATATCATTGCACAGCATCAAGTCTTAACCTGCATGGCTCCATGGATTGAGAACCTAAACTTCTGGAAACTCAAGGACTCAGGTTGGAGTGAAAGATTATTAAAAAGTCTCTACTATGTGACCTGGCGCCATGGAGATCAGTTCCCTGATGAAATTGAAAAGCTTTGGAGCACAATTGCTAGCAAGCCCAGGAACATCAGTCCGGTTGTTGATTTTTTGATCACAAAAGGGATTGAAGATTGTGATTCAAATGCTTCTGCTGAAATAAGTGGTGCTTTTGCTACATATTTCTCAGTTGCAAAGCGGGTAAGTTTATATCTAGCAAGGATATGTCCGCAGCGCACAATTGATCACCTGGTTTACCAACTGGCTCAACGGATGCTGGAAGATAACTTGGAACCAGTTGGGCCAAGTGTGAATAAGGGTGATGCCAATGGAAATTTTGTGTTAGAATTCTCTCAAGGACCTGCTGTGGCACAAATTGCATCAGTCGCAGACAGTCAGCCGCACATGTCACCATTACTTGTCAGGGGTTCCCTTGATGGTCCACTTAGGAATACTAGTGGGAGCCTGAGCTGGCGAACAGCAGGCGTAACAGGGCGAAGTGTCTCAGGCCCACTTAGCCCAATGCCTCCTGAGTTGAATATTGTCCCAGTAACTGCAGGCAGATCAGGCCAACTTCTTCCTGCAATGGTAAATATGTCAGGACCGTTACTTGGGGTTAGAAGTTCAACTGGAAGTTTGCGTAGCCGTCATGTTTCCCGAGACAGTGGAGACTACCTCATTGACACTCCAAATTCTGGTGAAGATGGGCTGCATTCTGGGCTTGGTATGCATGGTATTAGTGCTAAAGAACTTCAGTCGGCTTTGCAGGGGCATCAACAACATTCACTGACGCATGCAGATATAGCATTGATTCTACTTGCAGAGATTGCATATGAGAATGATGAAGATTTCCGCGAGCACTTGCCTTTGCTCTTTCATGTCACATTTGTTTCTATGGATAGTTCTGAAGATATTGTGCTGGAACACTGCCAGCATTTGCTTGTTAATCTATTGTACTCACTTGCAGGACGACACTTAGAGCTATATGAGGTGGAGAACAGTGATGGTGAAAACAAGCAGCAGGTTGTAAGCCTGATCAAATATGTCCAGTCAAAGCGTGGGAGTATGATGTGGGAGAACGAGGACCCCACCGTTGTGAGAACTGAACTTCCAAGCGCAGCACTCCTGTCTGCTCTTGTCCAAAGTATGGTGGATGCTATATTCTTCCAAGGAGATCTTCGGGAGACTTGGGGGGCTGAGGCACTCAAATGGGCTATGGAGTGCACATCAAGACATCTAGCTTGTCGTTCTCACCAGATCTACCGTGCATTAAGGCCTAGTGTCACAAGTGACACATGCGTATCACTCCTCCGTTGCCTTCATAGATGTCTAGGGAATCCAGTACCTCCAGTTTTAGGATTTATTATGGAAATATTGATGACTTTGCAAGTAATGGTGGAGAATATGGAGCCAGAAAAGGTGATACTCTACCCCCAACTCTTTTGGGGGGGTGTGGCCATGATGCACACAGATTTTGTTCATGTCTACTGCCAGGTCCTTGAGCTCTTTTCACGTGTGATTGACCGTTTGTCATTCCGGGACAAGACAACTGAAAATGTGCTTCTTTCAAGTATGCCTCGAGATGAGCTTGATACAAATGGTGGCAATGGAGATTTTCAGCGGACGGAATCCAGGGGCTATGAGCTGCCACCGTCCAGTGGGACTCTCCCTAAATTTGAAGGAGTGCAACCTCTTGTGCTTAAAGGACTTATGTCAACTGTTAGTCATGGTGTCTCTATTGAGGTCCTGTCACGAATTACAGTGCATTCATGTGATTCCATTTTTGGGGATGCCGAAACAAGACTCCTGATGCACATTACAGGTTTTCTTCCCTGGCTTTGCTTGCAGCTCAGTAAGGATGCTGTTGTGGGGCCTGCTTCACCACTTCAACAACAGTACCAAAAAGCTTCCTCTGTAGCTGCCAACATCGCAGTATGGTGTCGAGCAAAATCATTGGATGAATTAAGTGCCGTGTTTATTGCTTACTCTCGAGGGGAGATCAAAAGCATTGATAATCTCCTTGCATGTGTCTCACCATTACTGTGCAATGAGTGGTTCCCAAAGCACTCAGCTCTGGCTTTTGGACACTTGTTACGGTTGTTGGAGAAAGGTCCAGTTGAATATCAACGTGTGATCTTGCTCATGCTTAAAGCATTGCTCCAGCACACTCCCATGGATGCTTCCCAGAGTCCACACATGTATGCAATCGTGTCCCAGCTGGTGGAGAGCACTTTGTGTTGGGAGGCATTGAGTGTACTGGAAGCCCTTTTGCAGAGTTGTAGTTCACTGACTGGTTCACACCCACACGAGGCAGGGTCATTTGAGAATGGAATCGATGAGAAGATGCTTGCTCCTCAAACCTCATTTAAGGCTCGTAGTGGTCCTCTACAGTATGCCCTAGGATCAGGGTTCGGAGCAGGTTCAACTGCAGCTGCTCAAGGAGCTGCAACTGAAGCAGGGATGTCACCGAGAGATGTGGCTTTGCAGAACACACGTCTAATGCTTGGGCGTGTGCTTGACAACTGTGCGTTAGGGAAAAGAAGGGATTATAGAAGGCTGGTTCCTTTTGTGAGCACCATCGGGCACCCATGAAGTTGCAGGTACTCATAGTGATCACATATGTATTTTGAATAGGAATGTGAGGAAATTTGGGGGCTGGTTTTGTAAATAGGACTATGAAAATAGTTTAACGTGTAGTTTCAGCATTTTTTAAGCCCCCCTCCTCGAGTAAATATTTTATTGTATCTCATGTTTTTGTAAATTATAATTGCCTTGCTTTTCTCACTTGGACTACCGTTCTGGTAAAAATGGAGCTATGCAGCTCTGATCAATTTTTGACCTGTTATTCAATCGTTTTAACGATAAGACCAGTATTGTTCGCCATCACCATTGCAGCACTGCTGAAATCTTCATACGAATGCATTATTACCATGATCTCAAATACTGTCTTTGAAGCTACAACTATGTTCTGAGTATATGAATTCTCAATTTGTCTTAGAAATAATATTGATATTCAATTGTGGGTTGATATGGGTACTGGTACTAACACTCTAATAGTAGCCAAAATAACAAGATTAGAGCCGATAATTATTAAATAATCGATGAAATTAATTAATAAAAATAAGTCTTATCTTACGATTCATCCAATTAATTAATAAAATTAAGTCTTATCTTACAATTCATCAAATCGGAAAAATTATTCTGTACAGCCAAAAAGAGATTTTTTTTTTTTTAATTTTTTTAATTTTTCTTTTTTATCAGAAGGGAATAATTGTCAAAACACTCCATATTAAACCATCACCATTGGTGGTCGAATGGTTAACTAATGCTTTTAGGTGTATTACTCAAGAGGTCATGCGTTTAATTACATCGACCGTTAATAGGGGTAATCACTAGAACTCTTTGCTCGTTTGGTATTTCTAAGATTAGTTAAGGCGTATGTAAACTGGTCTGAACACTTTTCATCGTTAAAAAAAAAATAAAAATAAAATAATAATACTAGATAGTCTTATATTTATCCAATCGTGAGCATTGACTCTTCTCAAAATTTGTACCAGTTTTTAGTACATACAAAATGAAACCGTGGTTACTTCTTTCCTTTCAGATGGAAACCGGAAAGCATGTTCACGTGTTATAAGTTTTTTTTTGTTTACAAACGTTTTGTTTTACGAAGGCATCAAGTTAAAAGGTTCTCATAAAGACGAAGAAAACACTGATAATTATCAAATAAAAAGCATTCCTTCCAGATAAATATAAGTTGGATGTGCAAAATTGATAATCACACAACAAAATCATGTAAACATCACCATATGGATGGATCTGATAGCAGGGGAAAGAAAGGTAAGAGCAAAAGAAACATTTTATTATACATTTCTACTTCTTCTACAAACAACAAACCAAATCCATTATCAAGCATCAACCAACCCAATAGGAGGGTATACAGACTTCCACACACTCCTTTTAACAAACTAACTTTATACATCAGGAAGAGAGTTCTTATTAAATTACAGTTTCAATGAACCTCCATAGAAAACCTGGATTTTCTAAAGGGATTTTGCCCATGTCAATGTCCCATTGGAAATATGACCATACCTCTCGGTCCACTTGGTTCTGAGGAGTAAGATGATAGATCACTCGCGTGGTGATGGATTCTTTTTAAACAAGGAATAGGCGTCACTGTATATGGCCACTAAATTTGAGAACACAGCAAGCACAATCATGAAAACACTCAGAATCTTGTCCTTCTTTGTTGCTATGTGGTGACGATCCCTGAAATGGCCGAAGGAAAATTTAGTGAACATAAAACCAGGGTTTAGAATGTAATGAAGATTTAAAGCAAAAACATTTTTTTTTTTTCATTTGTGCACCAGTTTCCCAATGTTGAAATAAACATAAAACTTGTATATCAGAGGTAAACAAAAACTACACAGCCTTTTTAGCCTGCATCTTTGCCCAAGTTATTTCTATGAAATTTCATAGGGATATGACATTTTATGTGAAGGAACAATTTTTTTTTTTTTTTTCAAAGAAACCACAGGCCAACAAATTTGCCATGTTGCACAGGTGGCCCTTAAAATAATAAAACATGAAAACTTATGCCAAATCCTAGTCTAGTATGCAAGGCTTGATATTCACTTTCTAGAATTTAAACCCGAACTTCCAATTTCACAGTCAAAAACTCACCTGAGAGTAATGGCAGCAGGAAAAATGAAACCAATGCAAACAGCAGCAGTTGCTCCAGTGAATTGAAAAGCGTCCCAGATGCTGGGGATGAAATTTGCACCCAAAAAGATAACAGTGATGAGCCCAGCAGTGATCAGTGCAAACCTAACATTAGACGAAGCTAGAGGCCTTGATGAGGGAAAGAGGAGGCCATCCATGTTGAGCCGCAATGGATAGAAGACAATAGGAAAAACAAGCATGAGGTGAGCAGCGTAACTAACACGAACCGCATCATTAAGCAGGGAGCTATAGGGAATGCCAAGGTCAGTGTCAAAGTTGGCAAGCACATCATCAAGAGTATTGTCACCAAATAGAAGGAACCCAAAGAAACTTGTCGTTATGTACACAGTTGAGCACAAAGCAAGTGATGTACGCACAACTCCTTTAATCTGTGTAGAGTCCTCAAGTTCATTATCTATGCTGTGAACTGCACAACAAGCATACAAGAGATGAGTGCTAGAAATAAAACACCTCCCATTTGATTAACAGGAAACAGCACTTTAAATTGAGAGTAATACAGACCTCCTGAAGAAAGTTTAAACTACTCTAGGCCTTTGAACACAGACATGTTAAATTTCTAGAGTCTATTCTAAGCTTGTAAAATTTCAGTAAAACTCAGAAAGTGTGTCTTACTCATTTTATATGAATATAATGGTAAAATGATGATAAAAGAAACTACAATTAATCAATCCGGAGTAAGAAAAAACATAAATCACAGTTAGATATAAAGTCATAATGAACAAGTGAGTCATAGGGAGTATTTGCACTCATTAAAAAACAATTACTCTAGGAAAAGGAAATGCAATTTGCAAAAATATACAGGTTTAGAAACTAATCAGGTTATATACGGACAGCAATGATCTGGTGCCTAACCCAATAGATTGCCTCTGTATTGGTCCACCCTCCGTGGGGTTTTAGCACTCACTGTGGTCTACTATCCACTTCTGTAACTTGATCTCATTTTCAATATTAATTCAAATTCTATAGTGTTTCTTATCAATAAATAGATAAATATGAAGAAAACCAAATTAGTCCTGCTACTCAAACTTTATCAGACTTAAAAAATTAACAGGTTCCAGGCATGCCAATCTCATATAATTAATCAGCTTTCTTACCATTGTAGTGGCAGATGTATGCTGTGACCAGAACAGGAACTACAGTGAAGAGCTTAAAGACAGATGTCAAATCAGTTACATCAGGCAGTAATCTGGGCATCTGTATCCCGCCACTGATCAACTTCACAATTGAAATGCCCACAGTGATTACAAGAAACACAACAGCAAATGCAACTGATAAGGCAGATGTGAATTTTAAAGAATCTGCAACCACAAAATTGCACAATATGTCACCGGTGAGAGTCCAACAAAGTAAATAGCTAAGGCTAAAAATTTATGCAATAAATAGAACATCATCTTCGACTTGAATTTTACAATGACTAAACAGATGCATAAGATTCTGATGATCCCTAGGCAACGTAAGCAACGAAAATATCAAAATCAATGATCCCAAATATACCAATTATTCTTAAAATGTATTCATGCAAATATTACTTCATTGAATATTAAATAATATTTTATGAGGGAATCATTTTATGATACATATGAACAATTGGATGAAGATCACCTCATATTTACCCAATAGTGGTCATCCCTTTCCATGTGACCATAAGGACTCAGCATTAATACCTTTCAATTGATAGAATAATCCACTACAAAGTAGAATTATTGATATAACAAGTGCACAAATACTGAGAAACTACAGGGTGGGGGAGACAAACAGACAATGAAATTTCACCACAAGCTTTGAAAACCTGGTGTCAAATGTAAATCCAGCTTAAAGGAAGTTCGCAGGCTGTTTTTTCATATTGCCAAAAAGCAGTACATACTACCGATTTGATTCAAACATAATAAAAACATATTCACATCTAAGCATGCACGGTCTAAAAGATGTTTTACCTGATCAAAGATACAACAATCTACATATAACAAAATAAGACACCAGATTATATGTTAATCCAGTCAAGTGAAGGAAACTCAATTACCTATTCGCTTAAAGCATGCCAATGGAGAAAAAATGCCCAGCGTCACAATAAGAAGAATAAAAGTACGCCCATTCCACCAGTGATCTCCAAACCATCCTTCAAGAACACCATAATGGTGAACTCCACTTGAAGATGTTCCAGACAGCACATCACCTTCAATATCAATTAATACACCATACTTAGAGCTTTCCATGTAAGTGTGAAAATCCTCAAAAAAATTATTAAGTAAACAAAAACTTCACTCCAAGCAAAATATCAGGTCAAAAGCAGAAATGAATATAAAACAACAAATAAACATGAAACAAACAATAAAATATAGTCATACCAATGATAATCATGTACACAATGAGTACACCAACGTTGTTGACTAAAACACAAACTTGCAACAAACTCTTCCCACACCTTCCAAATGCTTCCCCCATAAGACCACCATAAGAAACAGATTTCCCTGCCCTACTGAACCTAAGCAACAACTCGATTGAAGCCTCTGTCAATATGGCCATAAAGATGATCAAAGCAATCCCAAGACCAAGACCTAGCACTTTCATGGTAGCAGGCAAGGCCATGATTCCAGCTCCAACAATGGTAGTTGATAAATTAAACACTGCCCCAGTAAAGGAAGCTCCATTAAATTCATCAAAACCACCATCTTCCTCCTGCTTTGTAGGCAACAAAGGAGCGTTCTCATCAACAGGTTGTTTGCTCCTCCTGGATTTTTTCTCTTTCGGTAAGTTATTTCCAATTGTCATCTTTCAACAACCAAATTTCACAAAATCTCAAGACTTCAATTATTCAGTACACTCCAACAATATCTGTGCACACCAAACACATAATTAGCTTCCAATTATCCGGTAACTTTAAAGATCAAATTCAAGTTATATGTGATTTTAACACTCCTAACCTGTGATATTTGCAAGACTTGGAAATGAACTTGATGAGTCTATGGACTGAAAATTAGGCCTTTTTAGCTTAAATTAATATAATTTTCAAATTTAGAAACACAGAAGGTTGAAATTTGAAAAATCCAGCTCTCTATAGCTGTAAAAACGGTAGATCTATTCTTTACAGTCACCAATTGAACAATAAATAAATCAAATAGAACAATTAAGATTGAAACTAACAGTAAGTCACAGAGAAAGATGATATCCAGATATAATAAAGCTTCAAAATTAAGCTTCTAATACATCTGAATTCTTTCAATTGTCACAATTCGATAACAAGTATATACAATTAAAAGCAAACCCAAATCCCCCATACACCAAAACTGAAAACCCAATAAAATCTTTTCTTATTTTGATCCCAAACAAGTCCCAGAGCAATCAATCCAACCCACACAGAATCCGCACTGATATAATAACAGAATTGAGCTCGGAACAGCAATTAAATTGTGAACAAGAAAGGAGTCGAGAATTTTGAAATATTAGAACAAGTCGTTGTGAACTCTTGAGTCTTGAATTCGGAGGGATAATTTATAAAGGAAATGGAAAGAGAGAAAGCTACACGTAACAGCCTCTGATTTGACCCAGACTTGTCCGTATAGGTGTACGCATAGATTAGGTGTATTTTGTGGTAAGAAAAGGACGGCCTTCACTGTAAGTTTAACCGTCTCTTTTCCATTTTGGTAACTCCACCGTCGCCACTCGCCATCAAGACGACGAAATTCTGAAATAAATTTTAATCATCAACGCCAACGGTAATAAACATTAAAAATAGAAAAAAAAAATATATATATATAAATAATTGGTAAAATAAATCATATATATAAATATAAATATTATTTTTGTAAAGGAGAGAATCTGAATATTAGGTTTACACATGGTTAATAATAAATATAATGTTATATTAGAGATGTAAATAAAGGATTTTAATAAATAAAGAGCAATAATTTATCCATATTATAACGTAAATAATATGAGTTCTTTTATTTACCGAATGAAACACGTGAATAGCCGATTCTATATAAATTATTTTAATATTTTTATTTTTATTATTATTCAACGTGTTTGAGGGCTGTAATAATTTAGATGAAGACAAAGACATTAATAATTCATAATAATAAGAGGGTTGTGTCGTGTTGTGTGGTGGCCGGTGGGCAACTTGACCTGAGAATGAACCGAGAAAAAATACGAGCCGTCTGTTTGAAAACGTGCTACACGTGGCAGGCTTCTAAAGGTTGGACAATTCTGAAAATTTTCTTTTCATTTTTCATTTTTTTTATTAGCCATCAAATTTGTTGGTCTAGGATCATGACGAGGACGACAATATTTTACAAATAAATCCACCTCGGCCATTAGTGGGCATTTTAATTCAGTTTCATATATTTAATATTTAGTTAAGGTATATGTATCTTGACTCGAACGCTCTAAAATTTTCAATATTTATCATGTCGTATGGGCAACAAAAGCAACCAAGTATCCATGAGGAGACCAAACTCCTGGGCGTAACAAGGTTTGCCTGCTCAACAGTTTTTTCATAAGCAGTTTTATTATTTATAAATATAATAATTTAATATCTTACAATATAAATTAGATGAAAAAATTTAAGTTAAAGATGAAGCCTCGAGATTTTATGTGATAAAAAAATACAATTTACAAAAATTTTAAAATAACATAAATTTTTCTACTATTTGTAAATCTTTAAACTCTATCGTCATTAAAAGCTTGAACAATTAAATATTAAAATTTTCTAAACTAACAAATAAATTAACTAAATAAAAAAATATAATATAATGTTTTTATGTAAAAGTTACTTTTAAATTTGTAAAATACATTGAAAACTATTTTTTCTTAAAATTCCCACTTGTGTACTAGAATGGCTTTTTTTAATTATTAGAGCCAAGGGGGTCAAAATGGTAAATTTATATTTATTTTGTCTTAAAGTAAAAGAACAAAAAGGAAAAGCTGCCTCGATTTCTAGGGCCTGAGTAATGTATTGTCTGTTTACATGATTAATGAGTGGAATTATGTGATGAAATAATTCAACATCTTTTCTTTCTCCAAGTTCACCTCGATTAATCTCAAGGGTTAGATTGGCGGTTAAAGCAGTTTGTTTGTTTTTTTTTTTTTTTTAATTTTTGGATTTAATTTTAGGATCATCTAATATAATAATATTATAGGGTTTATTTGTTTTCATATTTTATATCATATTCTCAATCCTATTCTCAAAATAACGGTTTGTTTCATTATCCTCAAAATACTATTATATTTTCTTCAACTATATTCTAAATCCCTTAAGTTTATTAATTTAACTAAACACCCTTAGAAAAAAGTTTAAAAATGAACAAAAATACCCTTATCCATCCATATTTATCAGATTCCAACCACCACCGTCGGAAGGTGGTTGGAATCTGGTATAATGACACACTGCCAGCTGGATCTGGTCGGTAGTGTGTCGATCTATCATTTTTCGATCAGATTCACCCTGGATCTGGCCATTGACGGACAGATCTTTGGTATAGCTGGTCGTCAACGAAGACCATATCTTTGGCCATTGACGGCCATAAATGGTCGTAGATCTGGCTTTTCCGGTCAGACATATGTTGTAACGCCAGATTCTAGCAGTGGTGGCCGAAATCTGGTAACTATGGGTGGATGTGTTTTTGTTATTTTATAAAAAAATTATATATTGGGGTGTTTAGTAAATTAGAAAACCTAGAGGGATGTTTTTGTTAATTTTTAAATTCTACCTCGTTATTCTCACCCAACTCTAAAAATATCCAAAATCATATCCAAAATAATAAAACAAACGGACCCATAGCTTTTTTGGTCTTTTGAGTTTGTAAGGTGTTCAATAAATTTGAGAATTAGTTGAGGTGCACACAAATTAACCCAAATACCCTGGTTAAGAAAAAATAAAAAAAGATTGAGTTCAATTATTAATTTTATTTTTTTTTATTTTTTTTTTGTGACAGGAGATGTCTGAGTTAATTTATGTGCATCTTAACTAATTTTCCGAGATCCTGAAGTTAATGATAGAATAAATCCTTTAGCGGCCACCACTATTAACAATCAAACTCAAAACTTATTAAGTAATACACTTAAGAGTTTCTATTGCCTCACCTGACCACACAATAATGGTTAATTGAGCTCAATTATTTATATCACTTCGGTGCTTGTATCTTTTGCGTCATTCGATAAATTATAATTAATACATAACCAACTCTCTAAATTTGATATTAATCATATTAATTCGTTTAAAAAATAATTATATGATAATAAAATCTTTTGCTATTGATACTAAGATTCGCATTAACAAGATATATGTAGATTCCTTGGTGAAATATATGCAAGGAATTGTATTGAAAGCACAAATACCAAGAGATTTTTATGGTCGTCCGAATGCTTGATGTAAACCCTCTCGTCCTTTGTTTTTCTATTGCTTTTTTTTTCCTTTTCTTTTTCACATACAAGTGTGACTTACAAAAGTATGAATGAAAAGAAAACCCTAATTTGAGTAAACAGGAAGCTAACATAATGTTACAATAGAAAACTTGTAAATAAAGTTAATATTAAATGGAATGACACGTGATGTGAATCTATGCTTCGGGGATTGATCGTACAACATTTACTGTTTGTTATTTTCAAACTGTAAATCTTGTTATAATACAACTTATATGATCGACACATCAACAACATTTATATAATCTAGTAGACATCATGTACAAACATAATTTGATTACGAAAAAGATATAATAAACATTGATTTGTCTCTTAATCATAATCAAACATGTCGTTAAACGTTGATTACACTAGTTTACATAATACTAATAAAGATTATAATACATTAAACATGAGGCTGAGGTTGAACCAAAAATTTATTGAATATAATAAGTTAATAAAGGAATCCAATTAGGCCACTACAATTATGAATAAAGTAGTCATTACATATATCAATGGGCCCATTGTGACTAATCAGGAACATCCAAAATTAATTTAATTAAAATAATAAAGCAAAAATAATCTTGGGCACTTGTTATTTGTCCTTTAAGATGGATTATGGGTTGTGACGGAGTGGGATTGGGCCCATGGGCCACTGTAGCCCATGAGAAGTTGTGTGGAAAATGGTAATTATCGATGGTCCCCCCCCTAGTTTCACTGTCGGGTCCATTAAAGGTAATGCTACAGCCACCGAAGGTTGCGCACTGAATCTGTGCACCGAATGACGTAGTAAAATCTTGACCGTTTATTCATTATCAGTTAATATTAATCAACGGTCAAGATTTTGTCACGTCATTCGATGCACAGATTCGGTGCACAACCTTCGGTGGCTCTATCATTTTTGTTAATTATATGGGGACGCGGAGACAAGCAAATGAGTTTAAACTAAGGTGGACGCGTGTCATCATTCATTGCCACAAATATGTGACTCTCCTTTTTTTGTGTTAAAGTGGTGTCGTTTTCATGTGCTTATAATGACATTTAATTTAATTTAACTTAAAATACGTGGTATAAAATCTTATAATAATGTTTTACTTATAGCTGAATTATATAAACAGATAAAAATTATATAAAATTTATAAAAAATAATTATTTTATCTTTTGTTTATTGTCTGTTTGTATAACTCAATTGTAAATATAACATTGTTTTAAAACCCTGTGACTTACTATTTATACTCTAAATGAAACAATCAAGGATTTGTCCTTTCACATATCACACTAGACTACGCTAGACCATACTAAATTATGTTAATTTTTTTTTTCTTTTTGGGTCATATAAACTATGTTAATTAAACACATTTAAGACTATGTTAGAGTTAGACCATATTACATTTAGTAGTCTAATGTATTCTGCTTAATCTTGTTCCCTTTTTTTTTTTAATTTTTTTTTTTTTTTATTGAGGGAAGTTAGAATAACTTACATAATTTTATGGTTATTTATGTCTTTTAAACAAAATCTCAACATTTTGGGAATTAAAATTAATGGTTTGGCCACACAAGGGTTATGTGAGTTGTAAATTCATAAACCCCTCTTGATTTTGGAAATAACTCCCAACTCCCTACCATTTTCAGAGATTCTAAAATGTAATTTACATTTTCCTTAATTATTACTACTTTTATAAAATTTATAAATTATTTATTTATTTATTTTATCTTCTTTGTTGAGTAGTAATGTATTATAAATAGCAAAGGTTGAGAAAAATGTCCCAAATTAGAGGGGGTTCACCACATCAGTATGCTTCGAGGGGTTTATATATTATCATTTGACATGAATTGGGACGAGAGGGAACGATAACATACAATAATAGAATGGTACTACACATAAAAAGTTCACATACATTTTATTTTTAGTTTAATTAATTAATTATCATCTGTTGATACAGGATTTTGTACCAACTAGAGTGATCCAATCGACCTAGTCGGGACTGGAACTGACGTTTGCATGATTACAGGTAACCAGTAGTGAGTAAATAATAATTGCAGTAAAGTAAATGACAAAGAGATTTTTAAAGTGGTTCGACGAGTTGAACTCTTGAGCCTACGTCTACTGTTATTGTATTTGCTGTGAGAACTTATAATGACAATCCTAGAAATGTTTTCTCACCCCTTTCTCATCGTTGGAGGGGGTTTATATAAAGATTATGTATAAAGGAAAATACGAAAATAAAGGGATTACAATTAAAATTGAAATGCAACTATG